TTTGGCGCGTTTTTTCAAGATTCGTTACGTTTCTTTGTTTTGGTAGCAAAACTTGAGCGAACCAAAAACAGACGAGTGCAGGCCAAAAAAGAGCTTATGGATGTGTGAGTGAGTGTGTGTGTGTGAGGTGAAAAGCGAAGCACAGAAATTACTTGCAAAAAGAGTAACAACAACAAACGAGAAACAACAACAACAACAACAACAACGTTTTAGCGGCTGCTTTCGTTTTCAGTTTTCATTTGGCCTGCACGCTTCAACTGGCTATTGCCCGTCTGGCTGCTTGGCTGGCTGCCTACCACACAGCGCGTCATGGCGTGCAGCTCATGTAAACGTAGCAACAGCAACAACTTAAACAGCAACAACAACAACAACTGAGACAACAACAACATCAACTGTGAGCACTAAATTTTCCACGAGCGACTGAGTTTGAAAACGAAACTGAAATTTCTTTCTTTCAACATTTGTAAGAAGTAAAGCAAAGCAAGTAAAAGTGCTCGAGAAAGTAAGGCACGACTAGAAGATACCCTAGGTAAGAAAGTGTAGTGTGAAGAGGCGTAATTGAAGAAGGTCTTAGGATTATCAACCTAAAATAGTTCTATTCGATATAAATATCGATCACAGGAATAGCAAACTTATCGATAATTCAGAATAAATATGAAACATAGACAAGAGATACCTAGAGGAGCAGACGGACAGTTAGAGATAGAGATAAGGACATAAGACAGACAGAAGATTCGATAAAGGAATAAACCTGGAAATAGATAGAGTCTCAAAGAGTCGCACATAGATAGACAGATAGATGGCAGAGAGACAAAGAGAGAGGGAGAAAGACAGACAAATAGACAGAGGAATAAATCGGGAAACAGAAATAGTTCCACAGAGTCGCACAGTGATAGGCGGAATGGGAGTGGGTGGGAGAGGAGCAGGCGGAGAGAGAGAGGAAGAGAAAGAGAGAGAGAGAGAGTTGCATACACAGAGGTAAATTGGCAGCTTAACTCTGCCTGCACACCTCAGCCAAGCTCAAGCCAACGACACAGCCTTCTTCCGTCATGTCATATAATATTTGCACAAAAAACAATACACCCCATTTAGTCACTTACAATGGGTATTGAAAACGTTGCGAGTTACGTTGACCATCATTAGTTGGCTTAATAAATGTTCGCTGAATGAAAGCAGCGGCTATTTAAGTTGGCTTTTTTTCATATAAATACAATACTTTTTTTTTGCTGATTTGTGCTTATCACACGCCTGCAATCAGCAACAACAGCAGCAGCAGCAGCAGCAGCAGCAGCAAAAGTTTTAAATCTCTGCTTTTCACTTTTTCAAATGGCCCTACGAAAGTTTTTTTTCGGCTTTTATTTATTAGAGATTGATGATGCTGCAGCAACGGCGGCGGCAGCTGCTGACGAGCGGAAATATGAAGTAAGATAGCTCATAATATTTTTCACTGTGTTTGTGTTTGTTTGTTTAACAAGCGTTTTGTTTGCCTGATTGCAGCGGTCAGCACAGAAAGAGACAGCAATACAAACAATAACAACAACAACAACAACATGAGCACACAACAAACACCTTTTGTGGCCTACGCGTGCACTTAAAACACAATTCAGATAGCCGCGAAACAATGTTCAATGATATAATGTTTTAATAAAGAGATTTAAAGCGCGACTTGGATGAGGCTGTTGCTGCTGCTGCTGCTGCTCTTACTTCTATGATAAGCCATTAAGGCGCATCTATAGTAACCTAGTCTGCGTGACCACGTGCCGCAGCCCTGTCTAAGTACTACTAATAATAATTTAACAATTTAATTAGCGCTCTCAGTGAGCTTTTATTGTTATTGTTGCGGGCGTTAACAACTTTCAGCGTGCTGTCCATGATATGTGTGTCGACCTGTAGTTAGTAGACCAATAAAAGTGTGTGTTTCTTATTTTGTAGACAATGGAAATAGCTGTCGGGCAGTTTCTAAGTGTTCAGGGAGCATCCATTAGAGTTGAGGCTAAAGAATTATATATATTTTATATGTACTATAAAGTGAAGAAAGTTTGAAGGGTAAAAAAAGAAGAAAACTCTAAAGCTAAATTTCTTGTGAATATTAAAAAAATAAAATAAAATAAAAATAAAAACATATTTCTGTAGCAGTTCTGGCATATGAAAACTTTTTGTTAACTATACAACAAATAAATATATCCATATAGTTACTTTCGGCCAAGGTTATTTATTTTTTTCGATTTTAGAATTATGCATGGAAAAGCAGCAGATCATAGAAATATTAGAGCTGGGCTGGTTGAATAAAAATAACTTGAAAAATATTATCTTGTGTAACTTTTAATAAAGTATTTTGAATAATTTAAAATAACAATGTTCCATTATTACATATTTACTGAATTTTGTACTTTGATTCTATAATCCAAATATGAAGCTGAAAACTTTGGCAATAAA